GAAGTCACCATACCCCAATACTTGTTATGGATGGCTCATCAGAGTTTTTGTAACGTTTCAGAGTAAACTTCTGAATTGATGGTCGGACCACGCTCCAAGAACTTCACTAGCAATACTTCTTTGGCATCTTCACATTTGGTGGGATTTTCTATGGCACCACTGGTGTTGGTTCACGATAATGTTCGTCCGCACACTGCTAGAAACACCCAAGAACTTTTGAAGTAGTTCCATTGGGATGTTTTTGATCACCTCCCCATAGCCTAGTCCTAGATTTTCTAATGTGTACAATAAAATTTCTGTATAAGCGAGTGTCTGTCACTGATAACCAAATGGAGGTTTATTTCTGAATTGCCCTCTGTAAGTTTATTAAAATCAGCTCTCTTGAAGTCCCAGATTCTAGTCTGACTTTGTTTTATTGCTTGAACTTGCATAATGTTGAATTCCAATACTGCATGGTCACTCCCACCCCAAGGTTTCTGTTACTTCAATGCCTTCTATCATTTAACCTCTGTTACTGAGAATTAAGTGCAGTATGGCTGACCTCTAGTTCACTTCTCTACATTATGGGAGACAAAGTTGTCTGCTAGATTTGTGAGGAATCTGTTTGATTTTCTACTAGGTACAGAGTTTGTCTCCCAGTTGATGTCAGACTAGTTAAAATACCCCATTAATATTGTGGTGTGCTTCCTACATATCTTAATTAACTGACTAGCAAAAAGTTCACATATTTCCTGTTTGATTGGGTGGCTTGTATATACACCTATGGCAATGTCATTCTTTTTTTCCTTTTATATTGATCCAAACGCATTCAAGATGGTTTTCATCATCGTTGTGTATTTCTTTAGTGATATAGATATTTCTTCTATATAGTGTAACCCCACCTTTTATTAAATCTGTTTCTTTTAAACAATTTAAATCTGCAAGAACATCTTCAAAATATGTGTTTCAATACTGTAAGTTGAAAAGGAAGAAAAGGATATTATAAAGGGGCAGTGATATGCAAAATCTTGTCTGCATGTTGTTGTTCTGAGGACAACAGTTCTGCAGTTATTTTTAACTGCAACTCACATCACAGTGCTTTAATTTGAAAATGAAAAAGAACACATACAATATAGGAATGGAAGGAGGCCCAGGTCACCAAGGAAAACTATATACCAATAGCCTAGAACTGTGTCAGAAAAAAATAAAGTTCAGAATGAGGTGAAGGTAGCAAACATTAAAAACAACAAAAACGGTTCCTTTAGATATGTTCAAAACAAAAATGAAAGGAGATAGCATAGTGGTCATTTAATTATGACAAAATGCTAGTCTCAAATGAGGGAAAACAACTTTTACTATTAGTATTTTAATTATTTGAATAAAAAAATTGATAAAATACTTATAAAATTTGCAGATAACATAGCATTGAGCAGAATAATTTCCTAACAGAAATAAAATTCAAATTTATCTTGATAGGTTAAAGAGATATTTTAAAAGGAACAGAATGAAATGTAATAAAGACAACAGCAAAGTTCCTCATCACCCCATCATTATTGCATTCTAACTTGTGGAATAAGCTCAGCCTAGATACATCTGTTTCTACTTCAATGTGACATGAGAACCCATAAAATTGGACAAATTATGGTTCAGTTGCCCATAGGTAAGAATGTCATACATCCCCCCCCCAGTATTTCCAAAAATCTTAATTCTACCTTTAGTACATGAAATACATGCCATTAACTGCCATTTGTTGTGTCCTTATGTGAGGACATTTCTAGAAGAGAAAGATGAGAAGGAGGACCACTACATGTTCAAAATAAGCTTTCTGTGCCACTTGGACCAGGCCACAGGACAAGCCCAGAGTTAGGCTCAATAATATCTATAACTGATTGAGTCCCACTATCATGGTCATTCTGCCACTGGATCAAATATCAGAAGCCAGAAAAGAAATGAACTGTTTGTTTGCAAGATGATACTTGGGGAATAAAGGTCTACTCAGCAGTAATTCTGAATTTCTGTGTAAGCCTGCCTGGTTAGGATTACCAAGCACCAGCTGAGTTAAGGTTGTTAACATAATACATCTGGATGGCCTTCAGCCAGATCAGGCTTAACAAGCACCAGATGAATCAGGGCAAAGTAATTGCAGCCTCCAGTTTAAACCTTGCTAGAGGACAACTCATGATTGTAAAGCTATGTGGTCAGTTGTCCCTACATCCTGATAGAGCTCCTTATTGTACAAATGCTTTACAATCTGGAGCCTGACCTTTGATGTCCTTTGTGCTGCAACTCATTTGTAAAATAGGCTTTATTATATTGTAACTATGGTTCTGAGATTTCCTGACAGTAGAGAATCACTTTAAATTATATACAATGGGTGGGGAGTAGACAATAGCTTAACTTAGACCTTAAATTAGCAACAATATTAACTATTGTAATATAAGAAATTTTTATATATACAAGTTAAAAATGCTCAAATGATTGACAGTGGGCTGAAACGCATCAGATGTTTCTCAATCACATCAAGTCCTAATAGAAGTTCATACTAATGGCTGTTATCTCATGGATGTTGTCATGCAAGCCAAGATTTTATGGTGTGCCTGGGTAGAGTTGATTGCATCTTGATTTCTTTAGATGAAAGACTCCTCTATTATGTATACAAGGTATTCTAAAATTTCAGTATTAATTTTGAATCTCATGTATTTATTCTGAGCACAGGAATGAGTATTTATCCATCTAATGAAAAAAAATTGAATGAAGAAGCACCATCCATCTGTATCAACTTTTTAACTTCCATTAGGCTTAACAGCAGTATTTCTCAGATATGCTAACTCATGTAAAAGTGAGATGGGTGGCTATATAAATCAAATGATTAAACAAACAAGTGTATAATTGAAACAATTCAATGTAGTTAAATACAAACCTCTCTCCATAACAGAGCTAAACTAGTACTGTAAGCAAATGTATGAAGGAGTTAGTAAAAACAAAGTACTATTTTTAAGTACATGTTTAAAGAATAAACATTATAAATGTTTGACAATTCAGTTGCTCTAAAAAGTATGCAGTGTAAAACAGAGCTAAAGTTTGTTATTAAAATACTTGCAACAATACGCCAGACTATTAAATTTTATAAGCAGCTCTTTCCACTGTAGGATCAGAGGTTAATGTTTCACTTCTGAAGGGTGCAACTAACAATAAATCTCAATATAAAATTAAGAGATTGTCTCTGAAAGACTCTCTTCAAATTCTTAGGGTGTTTGTTTTCTTGCATTCAAGCTAGCATAAACCAAAAGACAAGAAAATGACCAGCATATGTCTTATGGAAGAAATTACATTATTAAGAGGGTTTGAATTCAAAGAAAAATAAAGGAAGGCATTATATAACCATGTACAATTGTGCAAAAGATGGTAAATATAAACAGGAGGAAAAAAAGATCCAGAAGGACCAAATTACACAGGGAGGAGTTTATAACAGAAACACTATGTTACACAAGTCATAAGAGGAAAAGGCCTGCAATCCAGGACAGCTTTGTAGAAACATTATCAAGTTCATGGAGAATAAGGCTAACAATGGCTAATAGTTACCTTCAATATCTGAGACAGTAAGGTTCAACCTAACTAATTGCTGGGGATACAAGAAGCTTGGTAATGAGTATATCCCTGCTTGAAGGCTAACCAAAGACACATGCTTGGTGCTGTTGAAACAGCAAGCTGGATTAGGTCACACCTTTACTGTATTTCATCCAGCACAAATGAAAGAAAAGTTGCAGTATGTTATGCATTATTAGAGAATTACAGAAATCTGAAATGTAAATAAATCCAGCTCTGCATGCCCAGGTCTACCATATGACCGAATAGGTATAAAATTTTAGACAGCTGCATGACTAAAAGCTAACAAAACACAACCAAATGTCTCTTACCTTTTAATCAAACCTCCTTTTTCACTACCAAATCCACAATGACTGGGACACCTCCCACCCCACCCCCCCCCATTTAACTTTACTTGCTGTGGTGGGACTTGTGAGTAAAATCCACACGACTGCACCAAGCACCCATAAGTAACAGCAACAAAACTGTTAAAACAATCAATTTAGGGGGGACATCAGATTAGCGATTTCCATCCTTTTTTTTTTTTGAGAAACCTAAAATACCGCGATTCTCATATTGATCCGAAAGGGTTCTTACTAAAACGAATGCTCTCTCTTCCTCAAGGAAACCTAATCAGAATCGAGCTAATCCATTCCGCAGCAGGAGCAAGAGAACAACTATGACAAAGACCAGCGTTATTGTTATTTTTTTTTTTTTTAAAGTCCTTTAATACGTTCAGAAGGGAAACTTAAGGACCAGCCTGGGAGTAAATCTCACTGGCGTAGCTCGCCAACAACACATGATTTCTGTGCACAATTGTTGCACAATCCGCTTTGGCTGTTGTTCTTTTTTTTCCCTCCTTAAAAAAAGGCGACATCGGCAGCGTCTCTTACTCGGTTCCGCAAAGAGGGACCCAACCTTTCTTTCAGGTCACGTTAAACGAGGTCTGGAAGCTCCCCTCGAAGGAAGGGGGGGGAGGCGAGTCCCAGCCCTCCGCAGACTGCCACCAAGTCGCCCCCCCGCCCGCCATCTCCAGGGACCCTGACAGGTTGGATCCGGGAAGCTTCTCCCCCCCTTCCACTCCCATCCGTCCCAAGCAGCACCCAGGCCCGAGGAGGCGAAGACGCCGACCGGTCCCCGGGTCCCCCCCCTCCCGCCAGCGCTCCGGCCAAAAGAGGGGCGGTGCAGGAGACTTGCTGGGGAAGACCCCGGACACCGCTCGGCCGGCTCTCCAGGCGAAGGGCGTTTTGCCCCAGCGAGCCCGCCGCGGCGGCGGCGGCCCCCGGAAAATGGCTGCCGCTGGAGCCGAGCCCTTCCAGGCAGAGAGCAGCTGCGGCAGAGCGCAGCTCCGGACCCGCCAGCAGCGCCCAGCGGGCTCCAACCCGGCGGCGGGAAGCGGGACGAAAGGCGCTTCCCAGGCGGAGGCCGCCCCTTACCTTTGAATTTGAGCTCGTGCTGCGGCTCCAGGCACAAGACCTGCTCGGTTTTCGCCATGTTGGCTCCCGCTCCTCTTCCTCCTCCTCCTCCTCCTCAGCGTCGGTTGAAGCACCAAGCGGGGCCGGAGGGAAAGCGGAGCAAAGGCCAAGGACGGCCTCCAAAAAAAGGAAAGAAGCCGAGGCAGCGGCGGGTCCTCCTGACAAGGCAGGCGGGCGAAAAGAGGCGCGGGCGACGGACAGCCGGACCCGCTGACGGCTGGGGCACGGCCAGGGAATGAGCCGGCGCGCGCCCAGCACGCAAGCTGACGCTTCCCACCCTCGCGAGGAGGAGGAGGAGGAGGAGGCGGGGCGGACGCTGCAGCACGGGCGGGCCTGGGTTTGGCGTGGGAGTGGGGGGGGGGGGCAAAAGGGGACTGCAAGCTGACGTTTCCCGCCGGGCGGGGCCTTAAAGCCGCCTTCTCTTTCGTCAGGGGAGGGGAGGGGAGGTTTGCGCGTAACGTGGCGCGCGCGCGCGCGGGGAGCGCAGGCGCTGCGCCGGTTTGTAGCGCGCTGTGCTATGGTGGCGCGCAAGTGGGGTGGGGTGGGGGGGCGCGTCCGGAGGGGAGGAAAGGGGCTGGAGGAATTAAGAGGGCGCTTGTAAAACGCCGCAGTCCCGGCGAGGGAACCTTGGAAGAGGTCAGGGGACATCACGGCAGTGAGCTTTGGTCTCCCGAAAGGGAAAGACGTCTTGGTAGAACAGTGGTTCTCAACCTGTGGGTCGGGACCCCATTTGGGGTCGATCGACCATTTCATGGGGGTCGCCAAGCAAGGCTGTCCGCCATTTTTTTTGTCCGCCATTTTTTTTTTGTCCGCCATTTTTTTCCCCTTTTCCGGTGGGTGCCTTACCTCCCTTGGGCTGGGCCAGCTGGTGGTCGGCCTGTTCCTTCTCTGCCGCTTGCCAGCTACGCCTCAGCCAGCGCAGGGGGCGGAACCACGCATGTGCGGCACTCCCGGGCAGGGAAAGTCCTCGACTTACGACCAGTTGGGTAGTCCTCAACTTACGACCGGTTTAGTCCTCGACTTACGACAGGTTTAGTCCTCCACGTACGACCGGTTTAGTCCTTGACTTATGACCGGTTGGGGTCACGGCATTAAAAAGGTTGAGAACCACTGTGGTAGAAAGTCCGGTTTGCAAGAGCGCGATCCTGATGTGCAAAAGTGGACAAGCTCTCTCCTGGGGAATGAAGTAAAACCCTCACACGGAAATGGGGAAGGGAGGGTTATTCTTGTGGAGGGGAGGAAGGTCCAGCCTCACTGAAGGAGGGGTCAGGACCCCAAAACCTCTGTTTCCCCTTGCATATATATATTCTACTTTTGAGGGCCTGCCATTCTGCTGGGGGGAGGGGGAGCTTGGGATAACTTTCCCTTTCTACTTTCCCCTTCCTGCCTCTATCCTCGAGAAAGGAATGCGTTTCCCTGACGGTTACAGAGAAACGAAAGCTGGAGAAGACCTTGAGATGGACGCCCACTGTGCCACTTACCCCACACATCATACCATCTGTGGATTGGCTGAATTTCCAATGGACATTCTGACTTTGGTAGGAGGAGGAATATTGCTTAACTACACCGTTTGCGTGGGATTTCCCCCAGTTCTCGCCTTATGTAAGGACCCACTTCAACTAACCACCCAAGAAAGCAGAACTCTTGAAACAGGCATTGTCTCAAAAGGATGCTTTTATTAGGGGTCAGTGAATATTGCTTGATTAACTATACCGTTTTTTGCTGGATTTTCCCCAGATCTCGCCTTGACTTCCCTACTGTCACTGACGCCTAATAAAAGCATCCTTTTGAGACAATGCCTGTTTCAAGAGTTCTGCTTTCTTGGGTGGTTAGTTGAAGTGGGTCCTTTCAGAAGAGATGCAGAGAATGGGTTCTGAGCCAATTAAGTAGTTTGGGTTATAATTCCAGGTCTCAAACCTCAAAATTTGTTGATGGTGTCCCACAAAGTCTCTCTGAATTTACTGTTGGGACAATGACTTAGAGTAAATGCACTTTGTTCCTCGTTTGCATCAGAAAGAAAGGATAAAGCGGATTGGGTTGATCACCATTTGGTTGGCCTTATTGCAAGCTAAGGAGGGGTGAACTTGGTTATGTGGATGGGATTCCTCCAAGAAGTTGAAAATTAAAAATTAATGGAAGGATGTAATGGCAAACCACTTTGTTTTTATAAAAAAAATTCTACAGATGTATTAAGGTACCAGCAATTAAATTCAGTTTATAGGAGACTTCTTTATATTTAACATATATTTTTAAAAAAGGCTAATACTAATTTTACAATATTACCATTGTATCATTATATATTATACTGCAAATAATACCAAAGTATGGAACATACCTTCCTTTGCAAGTCTGTTTAAACCATGTTATTCCGCCGTGCCATTGGTTCTAATTTACTATTGTCATTTATCGTTGAGGTGTATCAGAAAATTGCATTTCTATTAGCCTGATTTTTTCCCAACACACCCAATATTCATATTCTAGATCTGGTTTTCTTATTGGGGCAGTATGTCAACATCCAGCTCGAGAATCCAAGTAAAACTCCAGGTTCATTTAGTTTCCGAAAAGGTTACTGTTTATTGAATATACAGCTTGGTTATGTCAAAGAAAAACTAACTAACTAACTAACATCAATTCATAGACTTAAACAATAATTCTCCCAGCCAAATCACCAACATCTTACATAATACATAACAAGTTCACTTTGTTATGGGAACTGTCTGCAAATCCACACCTATTATGGTGTCCTTGACAAGGCTTCAGGCTTTCATGGTCTCCAGCTGAATCGAAGAGGTTTCATTTCTCCATTTAATCTACTTGAAAGTAACATTCCCCCCCCCCCCTTAATCTAAAGGCAAGATGAAATACAGAGGCACATAGCTGCCAAAGTTTCACCTTGACACACCAATCTCCCAAAAGAAGAATGGATCTGGAAAGGCATAAAACCAACATATATACATATAGATATTGCTTAAAATTCTTAACACCTACTCACCCCGCCCTCTCACTGGGGCCGATCAGGGTATCTAGAATGGAATTTATTAGCTTAGTGGCTCTAACTTTATCTGCGGCTACCCATTGTGCCGCAAGGGAGTATCCTTTCCATCTTACCTGATATTGCAGCTTTCCCCTATAATATCTTGAACCCAAAATGTCATCAATCTCCCCTTAACCAGAATTGGGAGGGGAGGTGGTTTTTCAATTGGTCTCAATCTTGGACCATGACAGGCTTTAATAAGCTACAATGGAACACTGGGTAAATCCAGTTAAAACCCCTTGGCAATGCAATTGCAACAGTAGCAGTATGGATTGAAGGTGAGGGAGACTGCTACCATTCATGTGTTATGGAGATATAAGTCTCTGTTGGCCCTGAAATTCTCTGTTTCTACGCCCATGCTGTAGGGAAGTTGGACTTACTTGGTCTGCACCAAGGTGACTGATGAACCAGCAAGGTTACAGAGCGAACTTGGGGTTTCCTGAAGGTGTGCATGGTCCAACTGAAGACTTAATTGCCTGGAATGTGAGGGAGGGACTTTGGACTAGATTGTTTCCATGTGGTCTCTCTTTTCCTGTGGATCCTAAATTCTCCTTAGCTTGCTGAGGAGAAAGAGGGAGGGAAGGAGATGTTGAAAAGAAGCTAAGAGTGCCACAGGAAGACACTGAGGAATAAGCAGGACTGAGCATCAGCTAGAGATGCTATTGGGGCCTAAGTTGTGATGGATAGGGAGGCAAAGTGCCAGCATCTATATCGCATCCACAATCACTCAGAAGCACTGTTGAGGGTAATGCAGGCTCTCTAGGGAAGGATTGACTCAGAAGTTTACTTGCAGGGCCACTGTGAAGAATATGCATGGAACCTATTGGATAAAATCACTCTAATTTGCTTGCAGAAACATCCCTTCCCCCTACCCACAAAGCTGAAAATGTTGGGGAACTCTGTTAGAGAAATGGATTGTTGGTTGTGAGCAGGAAAGAATCCCTGCACAGCTTTGTGTTGTATATTACTTGTGCCCTTTGTAGGATTGTTTTCAGTTAGTCATGCCTTAGCATCCTTTCAGTCAGGCTATTGCAGTGTTTTCTACATAAGGCTGCCCTTGAAGAACATGTGGAATCTGCAGTTGGTACAGTATGCAGCTGCAACAGCAGATGTGGGCATTTCTCAATCTATGCATACAAGCTGCATTGGTTGTGGCGAGATGGGTGGCAAATAATTTAAAAAATAAATATACTGAGTTTTTATTATTTTTTTAAATTGTTGTCAGCCACCCAGAGTCACTTAATTGAGATGGGCTGCCATATAAATTGAATAAATACACACATTTAGTTGCTTGTGGTCTTTATTCCTCAGCTGTATCACTGCATCTGCCCAAATAGTTTGTTTCAGTTTTATTTTGGATACAAAGCCTCCTTCAAGGTGTTTTACAACATTAAAACATAAAAATGCAATACTACAATATGATTTTCAGTATTGCAGTCAAAGTTCATACTTGGCTTTTGTCTTGCAATGAAGTGAAAATGTTATAGGAAGGTGGCGGGGGGGGGGGGAGGAGAGAGATCTGTAGTTCTACATATGTTGTTCTCATCATCCTTTATTTTTAGCCTGGTTGCCTGGGGCAAAGCATGGACGCCTTTTGATACACAGAAATAATATTGAGCGTGACACATTATTGAATGTGCAAAGATGACATAAAATTGGATGGGATAGATACTCTAGATGACACAATGCAATATGATCTCGATCAGCTAGAAGGAAAATAATAAAATGCAACTCAGCATTCTTCAGTTTAGCTTGTCAATATGTTTGAAAATGATTTTGAAATTGTACTTTAGGATAGGATGTAAATGAGTAAGCAGTGTTATAATGGCTGCAAAAGAGAAGGCAAAGTTGCTTCCAAATCAAGGGCAATACTACTATCACTCATACATGGCATTGGTCAGGTGCTGCCTTGAGAGACTGGGGGATGTTTAACCTTGAAAAAAAAATGAGACGGGAACTGTAGGTTGCAAATTTTTAGCTAGGTGAAGAAGGGCTACACAGAGGAAAAT